GTGTGATGTCCCACCTGCTCCTTGCATACCATCTCTCTATGAGGCTCCTTAAGTGTCTGCCCGCAACATCAAGGAATCCTGAAGCCAGCAAATCACAAGACTCACTGGAAGTCTTGCAGCAACATAGATTCTCCAACCACACCCAGTGCTCCAACAGGGCCTATTTGCTCAGAGAATATCCCCACTCCTCTGATGACCCAGCACAGTGGTTCTCAGCTGGTCTGGGGACCCTAGGGCATCCTGGGTCCTTTCAGAGAATCCGTGAGGCCAAATTTGCTTTGAGGACAATGTTTCCCCTCTTCATTCTCATTCTCTCACAAAAATATGAAGCACAAAGATCCACTGATTTGCTTTCAGATCCCACATGCAACAAACCCTTAAGAAATGACCTTTCATTAGGTTATAGTCATAGCAAAAAATACCCACAATTTTCTAAGAAGATTCTTGAAATACTCTTCCCTCCAACTCCTTGTCTTATGAGGCCAGATTTCTGTCATAGATTTTACCCAAAAACAACCTACCAGGACAGTCTGAAGGCAGAAGCCGATCAGAGAATCTGTTTTTTTTTCCCCCCAAATGTTGTAGTCTTGTGCAAATGAACCAGCGCCACTCCTCCTATGAGGGTTTCTTTATTTTTTTTTGGAAAATATAGTTTTTTAATTAAAACCTTGCTATTTATGTTAACATGACATGGGTTTATCCTTGCTAATCTGAAATGGATGAATAAACGGATATTTCTAAATTTCTGTTTTAATTTCTAATATAATAAATATTGACAGAAATGAAACTCTGTGCAATCCCCACATCTGTCAGAGAGGAAGAGGTTTGCGATACCAGATGCAGCTGTGGTTGAGGGGGCAAGGAGCAGAGCAGGGGGCACCTGTGTCCAAGACCCGTGCAAGTGGGAGTCACTGGATGCGAGGCACCCAGGATAAGCAGCTTCCAGATCTGGCTCTGCAGGATGAGCAGCTTCCAGATCTGGCTCTGCGTCTTCTTCCAGAAGAAAATGCCGGCCCTTCTCTCCCAAAGCTTTGTGAAGAGGTGGCAAGAATACACAGAATAACTGTACAAAAAAGATCTTCATGACCCAGTTAACCATTATGGTGTGATCACCCACCTACAGCCAGACATCCTGGAGTGTGAAGTCAAGTGGGCCTTAGGAAGCATCACTATGAACAAAGCTAGTGGAGGTAATGGAATTCCAGCTGAGCTATTTCAAATCCTGAAAGATGATGCTGTGAAAGTGCTGCAGTCAATATGCCAGCAAATTTGGAACTCAGCAGTGGCCACAGGACTGGAAAAGGTCAGTTTTCATTCCAATCCCAAAGAAAGGCACTGCCAAAAAATGTTCAGACTATCACACAATTGCACTTATCTCACACTTATTTCAACAAAGTAATGCTGAAAATTCTCCAAGCTAGCCTTCAACAGTACATAAGCCGAGAACTTCCAGATGTTCATGCTGGATTTAGAAAAGGCAGAGGAACCAGAGGTCAAATTGCCAACATCTGTTGGATCATACAAAAAGCAAAAAAATTCCAGAAAAACATCTACTTCTGCTTCATTGACTACACTAAAGCCTTTGACTGTGTGGATCACAGCAAACTGTGGAAAATTCTTCAAGAGAAGGGAATACCAGACCACCTTACCTGCCTCCTGAGAAATCTGTATGCAGGTCAAGCAGCAACAGTTAGAACCGGACATGGAACTGGACTGGTTCCAAACTGACTGGTTCCAAATTGGGAAAGGAGTACATCAAGGCTGTATATTGTCAGCTTGCTTATTTAAGTCATATGCAGAGTACATCATGTGAAATGCCAGACTGGATGAAGCACAAGCTGGAATCAACATTGCCAGGAGAAACATCAATAACCTCGGTATGCAGATGACTCCTTCCCTTATGGCAGCAAGCGAAGAGGAACTAAAGAGCTTCTTGATGAAAGTAAATCAGGAAGGTGAAAAAGCTGGCTTAAAACTCAACGTTCAAAAAAATGAAGATCATGGCATCCAGTCCCATCACTTTATAGCAAATAGATGGAGAAACAATGCAAACAGTGACAGACTTTCTTTTCTTGGGCTCCAAAATCACTGCAGATGGTGATTGCAACCATGAAAGTAAAAGACGCTTGCCCCTTGGAAGAAAAGCTATGACTAACCTAGACAGCATATTAAAAAGCAGAGACATCACTTTGCCGACAAAGGTCCCAACAGTCAAAGCTATGGTTTTTCCAGTAGTCATGTATGGATGTGAGAGTTGGACCATAAAGAAAGCTGAATGCCAAAGAACTGATGCTCTTAAACTGTGGTGTTAGAGAAGACTCTTGAGAGTCCCTTGGACTGCAAGGAGATCCAACCAGTCCATCCTAAAGGAAGTCAGTCCTGAATATTCATTGGAAGGACTGATGCTGAAGCTGAAGCTCCAATACTTGGGCCACATACTTTGAAGAACTGACTTTTTAGTAAAGATCCTGCTGCTGAGAAAGATTGAAGGTAGGAGGAGAAGGGGACGACAGAGGATGAGACGGTTGGATGGCATCACCAACTCAATGGACATGAGTTTGAGTAAGCTCCGGGAGGTGGTGATGGACAGGGAAGCCTGATGTGCTGCAGTCCATGGGGTCACAAAGAGCCAGACATGACTGAGAGACTGAGCTAAACTGAACTTTCAATGTCTGCTTATCCTGGTGGGATTGACTGGGATCACATTAAATTTAAAGACATATTTGGGGAAAACTCTGAGGTTTAAAAATACTGAGTCTCCCAATCCATGAATATAGTCTATTTCTCTACTTTTTAAGTCTTCTTTTTTTGTCAGCTGTATCTTTTTTAGTTTTCCAAGTAATGATCTTGCATCTGTTTTCAGATTTATCTCTTAGATTTATCTCTAAGTATCATGTATTCTATGATGCTGTAGTAAATGATAAGGTTTTAAAGTTTTTCATTGAGGATTTCCCCAGTGATCCAATGGCTAAGAATCCGCCTTGCAATGCAAGGAACACAGGCTCCTTCCTTGTTCCAAGAAGATTCCACATGCTGCAGGGCAACTAAGCCCACAAGCCGCGACTAATGATCTCTAGAGCCTGTGCTCTGCAACAAGAGAAGATACTGCAGTGAGAAGCCTGAGTACCACATCTAGAGAGTGGCCCCACTGGCCCCAGCTAGAGAAAGCCCGCACACGGCCACAACGACCCACCACAGCCAAAATTAAATAAATAAATAAAGTTTAGAACTTTTCATTGCTTGAATACAGAAACCCAGTTGAATTCACATATCAATGTGGCATCCTGCTGGAGAGTGTGGATTCAGGGTCTGCAGGGTCAGCGCTGCTCCACAGAACAGCAGGATGGGGGAAGGGATTCCAGAGGCAGCAGCCAAGGCCCAGCCCCCAGTGACCCTCGTCCCAGACAGGAGGAAGCATTTTCCCTCAATCACCCTGTTTCCCTGGAGCCCGGAGCCCTAGAAGCCAGTCTGTTCCCAGGGTTCGTCTCTTCTAGAGTCTTCTCCCCGCCCACCTCACCCACACCCCACCCCGCCTCCTGAGTGTGAGATTCCACTTGGGGAACTGGAACCTCACCTGAGGGTTTCTCTACTTACTGCATCTTGGGCCTGAGAGAAACTTCAACTTAAGCATCGCTTATGCATCTCCGGAGGTACTGAGCTCCATGGGCCATGTCCAGAGCCTGGGGGACAGGGGTGCAGTGGCCAGAACTCTCAGGCCAGCTGTGGGAAGCTGAACACCAAAACAGGCAACTAACGCTTCAGCAGCTCCATAGAAAGGTTTACTGCTGTTTCTGCCACAGTTCAGAGCAAGCTGATCCACAAGACCCTTCCATCGCTGGCTGTTCCCACTAGAGCCTCAGAGTCAGTCACTGGAGCCCTCTGCACCCAGGAAGGTGAAAGGGAAGAGGAGTGTGGAGGGTCGCTCGAGATGGTTCACGGGCCAGCCTGGGAAGCGGCACGCACCACGCCCTCCTCCAATCCCCCAGCCACTCAGCCTCCCTGCCAGGAAGGAGGGGTGTGCAGCTGTGTGTGCAGACTGGAGTGGACACGCGGTGTGCCTGGGTTCAAGCCCCAGACTTGCCGCGGGTCACCTGTGGAGCCCAGCATGAGCTGCCTCTCTGGGTTGGGGGTCCCTGTCCACAAGGGAAGTGCTCTACCCCTCCCTGACCTCTCCTTCAGCCCTCTGGGGGGCCAGATACCCTGATGCCCTCAGTGGTCCTCGGGGCGGCAGGGAGGCCACAGCTTGTGTCAGGATGCAGAGCTCCAGGCCCCTCTGTGTGGTTTCCGGAGGCCACGGAGAGCCACCCACACACCTGCCTTGTGAACACGCTCACCTGACCGACACCCAGCTGGAGGAGCTCAGAAAGCCCACAACCTGTCGGAAGGTAGCCATGCCACCCTGCCTGCCCCAGCCCATGAGCCTTTCCACACACTTCATCTCTGCCTCATTTTCACACAGGTTATTGTGTAAGATATCAGTGACCACCTCAGGGCTGTGCTGTGGTGGGGTAGAATTCTAGACAGAAAATTGGCAGAAATGGGAAATAAAGAAAGAAAATGCCACTCTGAAACTAAAAAGCCGAGTCCACGTGGCAATAGATGAAAAACTTTTAAAAAAGAAAAAACACTCAGCAATTGCTTCTCTCGTCTGTTCTTCATTAAATTAACCAAATCTGTTGGCGCTTGATTGTTTTGTGAACAAAAATACCACATCAGTGTCCCCATAGAAACAGCTTCACTTTGACTCTTGCCAACCTCACTCGGTGTTAACTTTTGAAAGAAAGTACTTATTCATTAACTTCCCACTGACTCTAAGGAGGTCAAACCTGAGACTTCCTTTTACTGACGGAGAGTCTCCAGTTCAGCCTTTACTAGAAGGCGCTCCCTGCGGGGTTTCTGCAGCTGATGTCCTGTGACTCACTCTGTCCCTCCGCCCTGTACCCCGAAGAGAGAACCTCACATCTGGGCCACGGAACGTCTTTCCCTCCCTCACCGCTTAGTCATCCCCCAAGTTGTTTGGCAGTTGTCTGGGGCCCCCTCGAAATGTTTCCATTTATGGTGAGATTTGGTCTCCTAGCTTGGACACAGATGGGAAAGCTTAAGTGAACAGACAGCATCGCCAAGCTCCAAGGCGAGAGCCGGGGGGCTGGTGGCAGAAGGGGCTCCAGAGAGAGTGTGGACAGACCAGGCCTGGCCTGGGGGTGGCCAGGGGAAGGGCCCACACCCACCTGCGGAAGACACATGGCAGACTCTGTCACACAGAGCACGCCTGCAGGGTCAGCAGAGCTGCTGTGGGGCCTGGAGCAGTGGGTGCATCGCCTGGAGGGTTCTGGGCTCATTTCGTGTCCAGTGGTCCCAGGAGACCATCGGTCTCACCAGGGCAGGAACCACCATGCCCAGTTGGGGGGAGGGGCAAAGGGTGAAGGGTTGGGGGCCTCCAGGCTGCCCACTGCCTCAGCCCCAAGCACATCCTTGAATGGGGCTGGGGTCTTATGGTTCCAGATATCTGGAGACTAGGGGAAAGGACTGCCTACCCTGGAAACCAGCCTCCAAGCCCTGGTGCATTCTTCATGCCCAGAAACCTGCTCCCACCTCTTCTCTGCAAGGACCCCAGGCCCTCTGTGCTGCCCAGCCCTGGCCCCCATCACTCTTCTCCCAGACTGCAAGGGCACACAGGGGTGGGGTGGCCAGGAGGGGACCCCAACCACAGACATGTCTTTGCTAAGCTAAAGCGCAGCCAGGCTTCAAAGTAATAGTCTCTCCCTTTGTGTTATGTTAAAGATTAAAGAGGAAAGTACTCAGTCTTTGTGTCTTAGTCCTGTCACTGTCACCAGCCTGCCGTGAGCGCTGGGTTGTCCTCCCCATCAGGCCGGGTCCTCGGGGGAGGGAAGGATGGCTGAGCTGTCTGTCCACAAGCTTTACCCCACGCCTCCCCGCAAGACACTGACTCTTGTGAGCAGAACCACTGCCCCTTCCTAGAAAGAGCACAGCTTTCCCATTTTTGGCTGAGCTTTCCTCGCTCACCAGTGACCCGTCAGCATGGCCTGGATAGTTGTCTGTGTGCCCAGAACACATCCAGATGAAAGCAGGTAGGGCTCACTTCTGCAGGCGTCCCTTGACCCCAAAGGCAGATGACGTAGCCCTGCTGCCCACATCTGCAGATACAAAGGCCCCGTGGGGACCTGCTCATCTTCACTGTCAAAATACAGTGCCATGCCTCTCCCACAGAGAATGAAGACATGGTGAAGGTTCTCTTCAGCTCAATCGAGAGAACCAGGGAGAGGGTAGGGCTGGTTCAGCCAGGCGTTGGAAGAGCAGGGATGGTTCATCTCTCAGGACAGACTCTCTGAAATGAGCTGAGTTACATCCAAGAAATCAAATCATAACCTTTAGAATTATTACAGTGGAAACCGTGACAGTCAAGTTTTTAAAATTTCTTTGTAATTCAAGTGCCCAGCTTAAGCTTTGATTGCAGAGGCAAAACGTCCACTTCAAAGCCCGCTATCTGGAATAAAAGCATTGCAAGCCACGGATGAGATATAAAAAGCCAGGTGGCATCCCCCCATCACCCTGCCACCACCACCGACTAAGGCTCCTTTGTCTTAGAGGCCTTGTTTGTTTTCAATAACTAACTGATCATTTGGGCCCCTTGGCCTTTCTCTTTCTGCTCTTCAAATTCCCATTCTTAGGTTTTAAATTCATCTATTGGCTCACTATTGTGAGCCCAAGGAAACCTAGACCCCACCCTGACTCCAGTGAAAGCAGAAGCCTTTCCCACACATGTTCTCTCTACTCACAGCCTTGCTACATAGCCCCAGGTGGACTGTGTCATTTTCAGGTCCTGTAAGTAAGAAGCCTTTACTTTTCCCAAGTTTCCTGACACTTACTGCTGAAGAACTTCTTGCAATTATAGTAAGAAACACAAGGACAGCTCCAGCCACAACACGGTTTATTGATACGGTGTGCATGTGTGCTCACTCACTTCAGCCGTGTCCGGCTCTTTGCGATCCCATGGACTACAGCACGCCAGGCTCCTCTGTCCATGGGATTCTCCAGGCAAGAACACTGAAATGGTTGCCACATTCCCCTCCAGGAGATCTTCCCGACCCAGGGAGCAAACCCGCGTCTCCTGTGTCTAATACATTGAAAACGGATTGTTTACCCACTGACTGATACAGTGAAACAGGCACAAAACGGTTGTCCTTATGTGGGAGGAAAGTCAAAATGGAGTCCGTGTTGCTCTAAATGAGCCAGGAGCCACTGCGGAAGGGCAGCTCATGCATGTCTCAGCCTAAATGAAATCTGACCTTCTGACCACCTACCATCTCAACAAAGGCATGCTGACAGAAACTCATGTGCTCACTGCTCCCTTACCCAGAAATACCTCACGATTCCTTCAGGACAATTACTTCCTGACTTACGTCAGTCACAGTTCTCGCTGGGCAATTTTAATGACCTCATGGCTTTGTGCTTTATAAACCCCTGACTCTGGCTTTTCCCCAGAACACCCTTTTGGTTTTACCTAAATCTGAGCTTCCCGGGTGGCACTAATGGTAAAGAACCTGCTTGCCAGTGCAGGAGACACAAGAGACTTGGGTTGGATATCTGGGTCGGGAAGATCCCCTGGAGAAAGGAATGGCAATCCACACCACTATTCTTGCCTGGAGAATCCCATGGACAGAAGAACCTGGCAGATTACAGTCCATAGGTCACAAAGAGTCAAGCAACTGAGCACGCACACGTGTCTCCAGAATTGCAATTCTTAGGAGCCCCAAATAAAGCTCTTTGTTCTTTGCAACTTAGATATCAATTATTGTTCAACACTTTCTACCAAATACAGATTAGTTGCACCTTTCCAAGAAAAAAACCCATGAGCCTACATGAAACGTCACAGAGCCTGAGCCTTTAGTGAATCGTGATGTCAAGTACACGTGCACAAGGACACAGACTTAAATAACCGTGGAGTGAGCTGGCTAAGACAATACACCAGGATGACACCAAGAAGACACAGAACTGATCTTCTTGCTTTATTTCCAAGTTTTAAGTGACCAAAGACTACAAGTAAGAATGTTAAACCATCAACACTTGCCTGACCTCCCCCATCCTTCAGTGTACTTACGTATCTCTCATTTTTGTTGTTTTTCTCGTATGTGGCCATTTCAAACATATCAGAAGATTGTTGTTGTTCATAACATTTGCTTTGCAGAGCCGCATATACTATATTTTAAATTTTGAAATATTAACTTAATCTTTCATATTTCTAAAGGGAGTACATAATGGCAATCAGTTAAAAGTTTTGTTCGCACCCTGACTCCAGCCCTCAGAGCGCTCTGGGAAACACACCAGGGCACAAATCGGCAGACAGAAAGCCAGAGCACCTCATGTGGGGGTTCTCTGAAGGTCAAAGGAGTCATGTGGGTGAGGCATTTGTAAAAAGTCTTACCTAGAAATTTGTTTTTAGATGATCCCAAGGGAGAGGAAACACCTAAATTTCCCTGACAAGGCAGCCACATGGCTTGAAAGTAAGAGCCCTTCCCTTCCAGCCCTGGATTCACTGCTCACTGGGCAAGTCGCTCCCCACCCACCCAGGCTCCTTTTCCCACTTGTCACAGGACTTGCAGTTCTAGGAAAACATGGAGAAAGCTATGTTATTTTGGAGGAGAAAGGCAACCAGGTAACTCCAGGCGGGACCCGCCTTTTCCTTTCCAATTCCCTTTTTCCACCCTCCAAACTGTCGCTGTAAAGCTCAGAGTTTCCAACCACTGCTTCACTTAGCCTTGTTTCTTCAGTAAGAAGGTGCCCATGGTGAAAAAGAATTACCATGAGAATCCACTCAGCCAAAACTCAGAGTAGAAAATGGGTCACAGGGTAACCACAGTGAGTCATTCTGGATGGGTTACAGAGCACACATACCCGCCCCCGACTGCCTGAGTCCACTGGGAATTTCCAGTGGAAAGTCTTTGCTTCAGACCCAAGAAAGATGGGATGACCTGTCCCAGTGGGAACATTTACAAATACCAGTGCAACTTTATTCAATTTAGAATAAACATTTATTGGGCTTTCCTGGACCTACATTTGCTGAATCTTGTGCATTATCTCAAAGGGGGAAGACACATACATTTGGAGAGAGCAGGAAGAGGTTTCACGTAGGAATCGTTTTTAGGTCCCAAAAGGTGGTTGAGATTTGGATAAATGGACATCGTGGGAAAGGCATTTCAAACATTGGGAAGAACATGAGGCCCGCCTGCCCCCTCCCTGGAGGCTAGAGAGTGTCTGCTTTGACAGAGCAAGTCACCAGCTCTCAGGCCCAGGCTGCTGTTGGGCAAACAGCATCCCCTCATAGTCTCCCTGTTATGTCAACGTCTCCCTCCCTCCTGACTCTCTAATTCTGTCCTGGTTCTCAGAGGCCCCAGGCTCAGTCTCAGAGCTGTGCCTGACTCTCCCTCTCCCTTAAACCATCCAAGGAGATGTCAACGGAGATCCTGCCTCCGTGAGGACCTCTCATCTCCACCTTGCCTTCCCTTTCCCATCCCTCTTTATGCCCTCTATATGATCCCTATTTTGCTTCCTGTAAGACATTTTTTTCCAAACCAGACAAGAATTTCCCTCTCAGCTGTAAAGATCTCCTCTCTGTATATGGACTCTTGTTCTGACTTTCCAGAAAGGTACCTTGTCTGAGATCTGGGTTTCAAGTGTGGAGCACTAGGGGTTAAATTAGATCGCTCCACAGGCAACTGAAAAATGCAAGTGGGCTCTGGTCAATAAGCATAGTCCTTTAGAGTTCCCTGGTAGCTCAGATAGTAAAGTGTCTGCCTATAATGCGGGAGACTGGGGTTCGATCCCTGGGTAGAGAAGATCCCCTGGAGAAGGAAATGGCAACCCCCTCCAGTACTCTTGCCTGGAAAATCCCATGAACCAAGGAGCCTGGTGGGCTACAGTCCATGGGGTCGCAAAGAGTTGGACACGACTAAGCAACTTCACTTTCACCTTGGACATGACTGCCCTCACACACACACACACACACACACACACACATACACATAGGTACAAACACACACACAGTTGAAGTAGTCAAATTGTAGCAAGTTCTAACAACAAGAGCTAGGGTGACATCCTATCTCTTGCCTTCCCTCAGTCCCCTCTTCACCCACTCATTTCAAGCACTGTCGACAAAAGAGGAAAATGCAGATTTGGAGAAAGGAGGAACCAAGCAGAGCCAACGTTTTAAGGACATGAATCCCTCATTTGTTTTCTGGAACAACCAAGCACCCAGGAATCATCCTAAGTCTTTGGATAAGGGGTCAGACTCTTCAAGGCTACACCCTCTCTGAAGATGCTACCATCAACCTTCTGCCGGTTCTTTTCCTGCTGTTTTGCACAGGACACTGTGACTTTAACTTCCTTTCTCACTATTTTTAAATTATGGGCCTCAAGGCCCCAAACAGCCCTCATTCGCAGTGGGCCCCAGGACCACCAAGAAGTGGGCCAGGTATCTGGCCTGAGATTAGGGGTGCAGAGCTGAGGGGAGCAGCCCATCCCGCCAACCACTCAGGGGGAAACAGACCCTAAATACACTCAGGAAGAGGCAGGATAGGCAGGCCTTCCACCCAGAAGGGAGCCCCGATAGCCTCACCAGGGACGCCGAAGAAGGAGGCCCCCACAGGAAGTCAGACAGTCATATGGGCCCTGGTCAGACGGGATCCATCTGCATGGGGATCACTGAGTCCTGGGAAGGCAATCCCAACCCTGCCTGAAGACGCATGGACTCGAGCCCAGAAGCCGAGGGAGACTGTGTAGGTCCAGAGCCTACACAGTAGCCCACTCTGGTGATGGAAACTGCAGTGGGTGCTGAGAGCTCCAGACCTGCCTGGGAGCTTGTCCAGAATCAATTCTGGATGAAAGAGTTCCTCCTGCCTATCTCTGCTTCCCTCACAGAGCAAATAGGGAGAAAAGACACTAATACCCAGGACTTAGAAAACAAAGGGTGGCCTTTGTTGCATTACTGAGAACAAGTGTCCGTCACTGGGTTGAATGGATAAATGAAAGAGTATATCCACACAGTGGGATGTTACTGC